TCAGAAAAACGTCAGAAAGTTCTACTTCTGGTTTCCGAGAGACGTAGTTCTACGTTTGAATACTGTGCATTGGCTAGAGCTACTGCATGAAAATGCTCTTCAACTCATGATTGTTCACCTGATGCAAAATAAAAATAAAAACTTGTTTGCATTGCAGGAGGGAATAAAATGGGATCAGTGTTCAATGGGGGGTTCACGCAGTTCACAGGGATCGACTTCTCGCCACTGTCAGTCCTAGCCACGAACGGGAGACACACAAAAGCGGACTTCCGACTCAACGTCTTCGACACTGAAGACATAAAAACGGCTTTGACCATCGCAGTATCAAATGCCATCAACTGCTTCCCTTACTCGAACAACAATGCAGACGACGAGTTTTGCGTCCCAGTGGCGATCCAGAAGACGACGCAACCGTCAAAGGGCAAAAAACGACGGCGCAAGAAGCGAGAGACCAGCGAGAGGACCTGGTTCGAAAGGAACGTCATAGACAAGGTAACAAAACGGTTGTTTCCTTTCATTGAAGACGCGGAAGAGGCCACGGAAGCTGACAAGAAAATCGACGTCAGGCGCGATGACCGGAATCGACGGCCCGATGACGACAACAGCGAGGAAGATGACGAACCTGAAGACGAAGCGAGTAAACGGTCTTACGAAGGCGGAGATGATTACGAAGCCCCCGGGCATTCTTACGATCTCGGTAATTGAAAAAAAAACACACATACTTAAACCAAACAGTTAAATATGTCTGAAATGCAGTACTGTACATATGAATCTTAAACCATAGATTTTCAACCTCTTTCTTTCGTTAATTTTAAAAATTAGTCTTCGGCTTGATTTCTGGCCAAGTTCAACCGAATATAAACGCAGGCTTTATACATACTCAGGCTTCAAATACAGCAACTTCATACAATAGTGGTCAACTTGAGTCGACAGCAGATAAGTTTCCCAATTCATGTAATTGATAATCAACCTGAAGTGCTTGATCCAACCTTTGTTGATATAAACTAAGTTAAGGTTATGAACATGTGAGTCAATATAATTTCAACACTTGGACTTGTATCGCCATCAATTTAATTTTAATAAGACAAATTTGCGCGTTGCCTGGTGAGCTCAAAACCATACATAATTCAACAAAATATCGTACGTATCGTTCAGTATTTATGGTACTTGATTGAAAGCTGTAATATTTGAATCCCAAAAAAAAATTCTTGTACGACCTGGTTTTTCTCCTAAAAGGCTCCACTGACTTGACGAATGCATATTTTCAATCACTTTTTAATGATCCAGGTTCGAAAAAATAAACGTCGAACGGAGCTTCAAACATCGTTGCAGTCACAGGAAAAACGCAATCGCGAAATTTTCCGAATTCCACACAAGATGGATATTTTTTCAATTGAGATTTTTTAAAATATCACTCTTTATTTAAAAAAAAGTCTCAAAACTTACACAATATCCTAATTTTTTAATCTAGACTTGCGAAGCTGATTTAAAATTATGCTTCCTTTTCTGTTGACTGTAGGCGGCTATTGGGGAAAATCTCAAAAGGGCGGCGGGTGCTATTGTTCACTCGGATCAGACGACTACGGCTATGGAGATTACGGTGGAGGCGGCTACGGTGACAGCGGCGGCTACGGAGGAGGCGGCTACGGTGGAGGCGGCTATGGAGACAGTTACGGACACGAAGCAGGGAAAAAGAAGAAGGAAAAAGACTGGGGTCCAATGTTGTCCGCGTTTTACATCTACGGGTTGCCGTTGGCCATTTTTGCGACTTTGGCGGCAGTCGTGATCGGCGCCGGTTTGGGATACGGCCTCGGCATCCTTCTCCGAACGCTCACGACAGCCGCACAAGGCGTCGGCAGAGGCGACGGATGGTTCCGAGGCAAAAGAGGTCAGCATTTGGATGACGTTCATCCGAGTTTACCTGAACCTAATTCAACTTCCCGCAAGTTCAGCAGATTGGAAAGAAAAAAAAATCAGACGGAATCTTTAATCGAAGAGATGACAACTTATTCTCCAAAAACAAAATTGTTTCACAAATAAACACGCATCGGAAGGTCTACAACGATTACTTTGCAATGCTGAAAGAAAAATCATGGGGATAATTTCCCAAAAAGTCGTGGACAAATTTTAGATCGAATGACCACACATTTTTTCTTGTAATTGAAATGAAGATTTTTTTCGTTGGTTTCCATGATACACAGGATTAAAATACTAGCCGGAAACTTACAAAACATTAATCCAAGCATTTTCCAATACCATGCTTGATGTCAAAATTTTGTCATTTTTCTTTTGGTTCTCTTTCATGACGATGGTCGCATATTTCGGATCGTATTTTGCAGACGTAATGGATGAACTCGAGTTCATTGACGAGAACGAAGTCATACTACGGACTCTGGACGACATGATGCTGACTTACAAGTATGGTTTTGTGCCAAAGTGCAGCAAATACCACATATGCAAGCTGAATAAGGCTGCTACATACAGTGGATCGGTGCAGGCCAGCATCATCCCTGTTATGAGGTAAACATGTGCAATCTTTTGAATTCAATTTCATTACACGAAAATATTTCCCAAATTCTTAGATTAAAAAAAAAGCATGACACGTACGGCAGTCATAAAATTAATCCTCATATGCCGCGCTGAATTTCGAGTTTTCCGTGTTTCGAGAAACTCAATTCATGTAAGGCCAACTCGGGGCAAAATTAATTAAGCTTGAGAATATGGTATCAAAATTACAGTACTTCAGGTAAATCATTCCACCATTAGTTTACCTGATAATATGGCCGGTCCAGTTGCTTCATAACATCATATGAACACTGTACAGTAGCATAATTGACTAATTGCACAAATATGGTGGCGCACTAGAGTACAATACTTCGGTTCGTTCCTCTTCGAAGATAAATACTTCGTTGAAAAAATTTAAGCAACGCCATACCCAATGGAATGTTGTAACATGTCATACGTGTGTTCGAAAATGTTTCTTTTAATTTTGTAAACCTCGAGATGAAACACTGGCTTTAGAAAAAAAAATGTCTACCCGTATGTACTCGAGTAACACGCGCCCAAAAGAAAAGAGCGCACCCAAAATTTTCAACCTGAAATTTAGATAAAAATTTACCCCAGAATAAGAAGCGCACCTCATTTTTAGAGACTGAAAATCGGAATATGTTGAAAATTAAATGCATCATCATCTATATTTCGACTCACATTGCAGTCAGCTTCAATCTTGATTTGTCATCCTTTCCCTTTTTAAAATTGTCTGCATAAATACGTTTTAAATTCCCTGTTGGAATCAGGTATTAGTGCACCAAAGCAATATAAATTTTTTTTTGCACGCGTGCCCTCTTTTTTCGTTTAAATTTTGAAAAATAGTAATTTGCCTTTCAAGTATAATACCGTATAATTCCAGTATAATTACAAGATACCGCATTCAAGTATAATGCGGTATCTTCCGCATTACCATGGTTTACCATTACCAAATACAGTACTGTAATTTTTTCACATCTTGCTGTCTTTTAAATATTCGCAGCGTTTCAACGTCCTGGCTCCTCGGAAAGGCCAACAACAACTCTCTGGAACATTTCCACGCTGTGTGGCACGGTATGACACAAGCCAGCTGCGACGAAATGTACCCAGAATGCGCCACAACCCCAGCTTCCTCATCATCATCTACCCCGGAAACGCCCATCAACGATTCCGGCGGAAATTCTTCAACAACTGCAACAAACGCGAAATCTATACCGGAAGATACGCGGAAGGACAGCGAAACTGATGCGGGAAAATTAAAAATAGAGTCGTCAGTGGCTGCATGATTTTGTTGAGCTACTGAGAGATCAATCGCGGTATTATACGAACGCCGGTTCTATTAGTTGCAAATCTTAGCAATCATGCTTAAATACCTACGGAAGTTATTGTGATTTAACTTGGGATGCTTCGGTGTTATGCAGGAATCAGCCATTTGGAAAATCCGATAGCTTGCCAGGTGCATTCGCACTATTCTCCCTACACCTCAATACAAGTTATTCACGTGCTCGAAACTCGAAAAAGAAATTTTTTGGCAACAGCGACCACGAGAAAATGACGGCAAGGAGAGAACGTCTAAGCGAGGAAAAAAAGTTGCGAAAAAAAAATACCCTAAAGGTATGAACACGAAGAAAAGCCATTCGGCCAAAAATGACGACGGAAATTCGGCAGAAAAGAACTGAAAGAATCAAGGGAAAAAAGAGCGCAAAGAACAAGTCCAGCCAAAATACCAATTTAGTTACCCATTTTAGTTCAAAATATTTTCCGTTTCGATGAATTGAAAAAGAACGCACAGTACGAGGGTACTAACAAAAGTTCTCGGAATGGAAATAGAAATGGCGTCTAATCGAGCTGAAAAAAAGGTATTCTTTAGGGAAAACATATTCTTTGGCACACAAAAAATCAGCCCTGCTTGACAATGTTTTTTAATGTTTTGAAAAATTCACACTGGCAAACAATTTTTTTTAATGTTTTGCTTGCCAGTGTGAATTTTTCAAAACATTAAAAAAATTTGTCAAAACAGGGCTGATTTTTTTTTGTGCCAAAGAATATGCTTCCCCTGAAAAAAAATTTTTCAGTTCGATTAGACGCCATTTTCATTTCCATTCCGAAAATTTTCTTTAGAACCCTCGTATATATCTTTTTGGTGCGATACCGGGTGTCAAAGAGTGCAATCCTCCAACCCGGACATTATTCAAAACCAATTCGCTCCTCTGCAAAAAGTAACAATTTTGAGCTTAGTCTGGTCACTCTGACGCGATCAGTTTTCAGAATATTTTCCTCCGAAAAGGGTATTGAAGCAATAGAAAACATGGCTCCTGTATAACATCGAAGGGCCGCATTTTGCATCAAGCTTTTGAGCAAAATTTAATCGCGCGGTTTATTCTCTGCCCGAACGAAAAAAATTTGCCAAGATGCATTCGTCGTGACTTTTATCGGCCGATATTCGCGCCAAAATTTATTCGTAGAACATTACAAAGCCGTCAAAATATATTTTTATTTCGGAATTCAAACACATTCGCAGCAAAACCCTCCGTCCAAGGATGCCTAATAGTATTTAAAAAAAATACACAAAATCTCAAAAGAAGACAGGATTCATCAGAGACGACGAATTCTTCGAGTGAGAGGAAAAAGCAAAAGAAGCCACGTGAGTGACTTACACCGCAAAGCTTTCTTGATTGTGGGCTACGCCATGATTTGCATTACAAATAGAGAAGCTCATTCCAGCTCTTGACCTCAGGGCATCTTTCGCTGCGATCCGACTCGAATAGGAGAAGGATGAGCGTAAACACAAATCAACCACGAGCACAGCACACAGCAAAGGTTAGCCATGAACCTATTTCTCCCTTCTCTCGCCAGATTCGAATACAGAAACGGAAATAAAATCCCGGATGCGTTTGTTTCACCATGGCCCACGATTACATTAGAGAACTCATATTCTAACAAGAAATGTTTTTATTTCATGCTGAGATAAAAAGTAAAAACCTTCGACACTCAACTTCTCCTCAACAATTCCACGGTGGCCTTCTGAAAAACTCTCATCGTTGTTCGAGATGCTTTGGAATCCAACATGGATAAGCTTCACTTTAGGGCAGATTTTCCATTAGGCCGTTTATCTAAAAAGAATTAAACAGGCAATACTTTTTCCTGAAAAAGAGCCCCACCAGGTCTTGAGTCTGTAGTAAGAGGTGAATCGGAAAATAATTTTTAAGATTTTCCAAACAGACACTTACAAAAACTGAATTTTGAGAGGCTGACTTTAGGATGAAGCGCACATTCCGGCGGAACTAATTCTCTGATCTGCTTTTTATCACAAGTAATTGATCCATTTTCATTTTGATAATCGAACATAATTATTTCATCGAACATAACTTGTTCATTTTCCTTTTGTTAGCCCGCAATTTAAAGTAAATTTTCTTGATGGTGAGCATAGAGCTTTTTTATAGATTTAAAATTGCAACAAAATTCAGAAGAAATACCTTAATTAATTCACGAATACAAAGCGAATACTCAATACAGTAGTTTCAGATTCAGAAAAGCTATGCGGCGAGATATAGTACGTGACAGCACCATCACGGAATGACAAAAAAACGTTTTAGGTCAATTCCGGAACAGTAGGGGCGTCTAAAAAGGCTTCCGCCTTTCTTTACCACCTTCGAAGACCGCGAGAAACAAAGGAAAGAACAAGGACACGCAACAAAAAAAAAAAAAAAACACAGGCACTGAGAAACCACAGAAAAAAAAGTCGGTGCTGCGGTTCAAACTGGAAGTAAACTTCAGCCTCGGTAGCCGAATCGTTTCGCGTTCTTCATCCGGCGAGACTTCTGCCTGTTGGAGTTCGGTTCAGCTTCCGCACTTCGCACGGATCTCAAATGCTCACCAATTCTTAAAAACAAAGAAATTTAAAATTAATCCCAAGATATTTACGAATTTGTGTATCAGGTTTTTTTTTCTCGAAAATACTCGGTCCATCATCATCAGTCCACCAAGGACGAATTTAGAAAAAAAATGTGGGAATTATAAAAATCCATGAGGAATAAGGTCGACCGATAAATTTAAGAGATGGGATCAAGAGAAATAATTATCCTCGATGCGTAGAGCTTATAGCTTCTGAGAAGCGTTTTAAAATAGTACTGAGGAATGAATGAACATTAAGAATAAAACATAGTACGGTTGAATATCTTCAAATCAAACTTGAAGGGACCAGCAAAAAATTCGAGTTAGGGCGTTTTAGAGGTCGGAAAACAAGCACTTTTACTGGGTAAGAGAAAGAGGAATTACAGGAAATTGTAATTTTGTGAAATTCGGGGCCTTGAATAGCTTCTTGAACTAGTTGACAGGATGGTGAACTTGGAGACAAGGGTTCATTTGCCAAATTATTCTTTCACCTCTTTCTGAAACACTTGAAGTTACATTTTTATTGCTTTCCTCTTTCCTTCGTTAATAAAAATATTGGCAAAAATGTCTCCAGAAAATTCGAATTATGGAGGTTTGAGGGGGAAAATTTTCGAGTCAGAAAGGTTTTTAATGCATTGTTTCTAAGGGAACTCAGACAGGGACTTGCAAAAAAATTCTACATAGGTAGTCGTTTGACTTGGAAGAGGTTCTAGTAGTTATCGAGGCTTCAATACTTCAACTTATTTTCGGAGAAGCACTGCAATGGAAATAAGCTCACTGGAACGTTTCGATCAGCGGACCGACTCCCGGCTGATCATCAGCAATCGCACCACACACAGCACAAGCGATCATGCCGAGAAGCATCTTCGAAAAAAAAAAATCACGGAAAATTCAAATAATGATGCGAGTACTCCTCATCGAAGTCGTCGGAAACTTGATAGCTTACCGCCAGCATAAACCCGATCGAAAGAACCTTCATCTTTTTCCCCCCGAGGTTTTCCTTCACCTAGCAACGCAGAATCTGGTTTTCAAAAACGATGACCTCTGTTCGAGAGATACCCATGCAACGGGGCGGCTTTTAGAATGAGTCGGCGCGGCGACCAACACTTGATTTTATACCGGCGCCGGGCAAGACACACGTCTGTCGTTAACAAAGAAGGGGAACAGACAAATGCGGGTTTCATGCAAATCAGACAACGAATTGCGCATGCTGAACACGTTCTTACCAGTGGGGCGTATCAGTCATTCCACTCGGGATGCACAGGAAATATATATATATATATTTATATCGTACAAATATTTCTAAAATCTCAGGACTTCATTTTTGTAGGTGAAGTCCGCGGGGGACTACGGGTACGGTCACGGGACGAATCTACTTGATAAAAATGCAAATGTACTTATGCGTAGTATCCGAGTAAATTCTCCCATAATCACATAAAGAAAAAGCTTTACACACGACACCTGCGTATAAGGGAGGTGCACCCAGTACAGGTGTACCAACACTTGGGGCATGAATTGACGAGTGAAAAATTTACGAAGTCTGCGTTTTTGCGAGAAGAAATATACAGTAATTGCAAGCCTTTTTGACCGTCACATAAGTAAATCTACAAATTCTGCGTTTATAGATCATTAGTCAATTCATGAGTGATATAATATAAGATAATCTTTTGACACACAGTATACACTTCTTGCCAATATTCTAGCATGAGACTGCTGTCACGGTGCTACGCTGGAGAAAATCCTCTCAGATCCTATACGAATACAATTTCTATAAACTTTAAATGATCAAGAGATTCAATTTTTTAATGGGTGCTATGCTGCATGAGAAACTTGTAAGAATTTGTAAATCTATTCGCAGAATACAGTAACTTTATTCTTTATATTTTATTATAATTTATCAAATATGCTAATTGGTCAAAGGAAACTGCAATTTCAAGCACGATTCCTCAACCTGCGATTGTAATCCAATAAAATTGTATTGCAGTCCACTTCGAACGCATTCTCACAACATTTTTCAAAGATTTGTAAATATGAAAAAGGAAATATGCACTTCGTAAACAGATAAGTTGAAAAAATTGCATCTATACCAATACCTTCAATGACAGCGTGAAGTACAAACCCCACAACGTACGTTCTCAAACTCATGAATATTTCATATGGTAAATCGATGGCAACAGCCACTTTTCAGAAGAAACTCATTAATTCGAGTGACTGCTTGAAACTTTAGTCTTAAAAGAGTAGTTCGACTAAAATATTAAATCCATCGCTTTGAAATAAAGCACAAAGCAGTTCACCATCGAATGCGACAATGCATTAATAGCATATGATCTCTCACTAACTTTACGTATACGGTACAGTACTGTACCGGAGTGCGTATACGTTCAATTGGATAAAAGCTAATCATTTTTGTGCGATTAAATAAAAAAAATTATACGTTTAAAGGTAGGAAGTCGTAGAAATGGAATATTGAATTATTCCGTTTTTTATCTGCTACGCGATTATTGTCCAACCAATTTGTACCTTTTTTAAAAATGTTAATACATCATCAGAAAAAATTCGAGAAACGCGAACTGTTCCTTTTTTTTAGTTGAAAACTCATTAGAAAAAATTAATGCTTGGTTTCAGTCGCGTTTATCACCGTGAATCGAATGCGAAGTTTCTTTTCGCCTCAAGTCCTAAACAATCGACTTTTATTGACTGAATAACTTTTAAAATACAGTATGTTAGTCGTAATAAATGCTTCTTAACGTCTCTTTCTTAGTTTTCTTGTCACATCAAAATGCTGACAATAGACCCGCTTGAACCACACATTTGTCATTATATTCTACAACACATTAAGAACGGTCCTAGGAATGGTTTCCTACTATATTATCCCACATTGTTCTACCCGAAGGGATTAAACCGTCTGGTCCTTCGCCAGGAGGCTGGGAGGGGGTCCGTTTTTGCTCGGTTCGATCGCTGATTGCCAGGTGCATTGTTAATCATGCTCTGTTTTTTGGGACCTGCATTTACTTCTGCTATAATGTACTCCTAAAAATCGTTGTATTGTTTCTACAGCTCCCCCATGGACTGCAATACAAAAGGCATTTACAGAAGGTACACAAGTACAATATGGAAACATTTTAATTTTCCTCGTCATAAACTGAGAGTTCATTCAAATTATATTCATCAACTCTTGGAACTGGGGCAAGGTCAATACAATTTTGTTTACACCAATCAAAGAAGATGTGTGCCAAATATATGTTCTCATAGTATACGGATAAATAACCAAGCTGTATTCTTCATAAGTTGAAGTCATGTAGGCGGCATTCAAATAATTGGTGAACTTTGTTTTGGCATCATCAATATTCTTTTGTGCCATTCTTAATAAATTTATATATAAAACCAGGAAACCAAGATCTTTTGTTATGTAATTTCAGTTTGATTCAGTTGCCTTGAAAGGCAAAAAATTGTGAGCAGTGAAAAATCATGCAAAAGAAGCAACTATTCAACAGGACTATTCAATAGGCAACTTGGATACTTCTGAAGAAATCGTATTTAATATTCCTTATATACCTTAGACTTTGAGGAAAGTTATTTATGTCCCCGTTTCAAAAATACCCATTTCCTTTCTGCAAAATTTGCGGGGTATTAGCCCATGGCGCCTGGCGCTCATTCCTGAGGNTTCTCCAATATCGCACTGATTTCCTCCCAATTTCTGGAGCCCTTCAATCCATACATTTCCGCACGAAGATTCGCGGCGGAGATGACAAATTCGCGATGTGTTTCCTAGATGGAAAAAGTTACACGAACTTAGCTGGCTTTGTGGGTGCGCGTGTTACTCGAGTAAATACGGGTATAAACATTTTTTTTCTAATGCCGTATTTCATCTCGAGGTTTACAAAATTAAAATAAACATTTTCGAACACACGTATGACATGTTACAACACTCCATTGAGTATGGCGTTGCTTAAATTTTTTTTTAACGAAGTATTTATCTTCGATGAGAAACAAACCGAAGTATTGTACTCTTAGTGTGCCACCATATTTGTGTAATTGGTCAATTATGCTACTGTTTAGTGTTCATATGACGTTATGAAGCAACTGGACCGGCCATACTATCAGGTAAACTAATGGTGGAATGATTTAACTAAGTACTGTAATTTTGATACTATATTCTCAAGCTTAATTAATTTTGCCTCGAGTTGGCCTTACGTGAATTGAGTTTCTCGAAACACGGCAAACTCGGAATTCAGCGCGGCATGTGAGGATTAATTTTATGACTGCCATACGTGTCATGTTTTTTTAAATCTATGAATTTAGGAAATATTTTCGTGTAATGAAATATAATTCAAAAGATTGCACATGTTTACCTCATAACAGGGATGATGCTGGCCTGCACCGATCCACTGTATGTAGCAGCCTTATTCAGCTTGCATATGTGGTATTTGCTGCACTTCGGCACAAAACCATACTTGTAAGTCAGCATCATGTCGTCCAGAGTCCGTAGTATGACTTCGTTCTCGTCAATGAACTCGAGTTCATCCATTACGTCTGCAAAATACGATCCGAAATATGCGACCATCGTCATGAAGGAGAACCAAAAGAAAAGTGACACGATTTTGACATCAAGCATGGTATTGGAAAAATGCTTGGATTAGTGTTTTTTTAAGTTTCCGGCTATTATTTTAAGCCTGTGTATCATGGTAACCAACGAAGAAATCTTCATTTCAATTACAAGAACAAAATGTGTGGTCATTCGATCTAAAATTTGTCCACGACTTTTTGGGAAATTATCCCCATGATTTTTCTTTCAGCATTGCAAAGTAATCGTTGTAGACCTTCCGATGCGTGTTTATTTGTGAAACAACTTCGTGTTTGGAGCATAAGTTATTATGTCTTCGATTACGGATTCCGTCTGATTTTTTTTTTCTTTCCAATCTACTGAACTTGCGGGAAGTTGAATTAGGTTCAGGTAAACTCGGATGAACGTCATCCAAATGCTGACCTCTTTTGCCTCGGAACCATCCGTCGCCTCTGCCGACGCCTTGTGCGGCTGTCGTGAGCGTTCGGAGAAGGATGCCGAGGCCGTATCCCAAACCGGCGCCGATCACGACTGCCGCCAAAGTCGCAAAAATGGCCAACGGCAACCCGTAGATGTAAAACGCGGACAACATTGGACCCCAGTCTTTTTCCTTCTTCTTTTTCCCGGCTTCGTGTCCGTAACTGTCTCCATAGCCGCCTCCACCGTAGCCGCCTCCTCCGTAGCCGCCGCTGTCACCGTAGCCGCCTCCACCGTAATCTCCATAGCCGTAGTCGTCTGATCCGAGTGAACAATAGCACCCGCCGCCCTTTTGAGATTTTCCCCAATAGCCGCCTACAGTCAACAGAAAAGGAAGCATAATTTTAAATCAGCTTCGCAAGTCTAGATTAAAAAATTAGGATATTGTGTAAGTTTTGAGACTTTTTTTTAAATAAAGAGTGATATTTTAAAAAATCTCAATTGAAAAAATATCCATCTTGTGTGGAATTCGGAAAATTTCGCGATTGCGTTTTTCCTGTGACTGCAACGATGTTTGAAGCTCCGTTCGACGTTTATTTTTTCGAACCTGGATCATTAAAAAGTGATTGAAAATATGCATTCGTCAAGTCAGTGGAGCCTTTTAGGAGAAAAACCAGGTCGTACAAGAATTTTTTTTTGGGATTCAAATATTACAGCTTTCAATCAAGTACCATAAATACTGAACGATACGTACGATATTTTGTTGAATTATGTATGGTTTTGAGCTCACCAGGCAACGCGCAAATTTGTCTTATTAAAATTAAATTGATGGCGATACAAGTCCAAGTGTTGAAATTATATTGACTCACATGTTCATAACCTTAACTTAGTTTATATCAACAAAGGTTGGATCAAGCACTTCAGGTTGATTATCAATTACATGAATTGGGAAACTTATCTGCTGTCGACTCAAGTTGACCACTATTGTATGAAGTTGCTGTATTTGAAGCCTGAGTATGTATAAAGCCTGCGTTTATATTCGGTTGAACTTGGCCAGAAATCAAGCCGAAGACTAATTTTTAAAATTAACGAAAGAAAGAGGTTGAAAATCTATGGTTTAAGATTCATATGTACAGTACTGCATTTCAGACATATTTAACTGTTTGGTTT